TTTGCTTTATAAGACAGTTTAAACGACTGAGTGACCGTTGTTAACGAGTATCATTAGCGTTTCATAATTAATACAGAAAGTTTACAAAACTTAAGGTCACCATCAAAAACACTAGGGAGATTCAAATACACTCGTAAATGATTTGAATATAATAGATTCTTATAAATACACAATTATATCATATATCACAAAGAACAGATTCACAGATAGCTACATGCCTAAAATTTACTCGATCCACTTGTAATTAGCGAGTAATATAGTGTGATACACATAAAACGAGGTTGACTAAACACTGAAGCAGATCGAATTGATAAGTACACTGAACGAACTTACAAAACATGAGGAATAAATTAATATTTGCATTATTTGTATCCTCCCCAAACTTATGGAGGGAAGGCGATGTCTGAAGCTCAGCACACTTGGGACACAATATACTACACGGAGATTGATCAGACAATGTTAAAGAAATGTATTATGAGCAAAACACTTAGTCCGCCAAACCATATGAATGACCACAGCAATATAAATTGTGAGAATGAATAAACTACTTACTCTAATATGAACTGTTATAATTAGTGAAATGTCTATTGACTACAGAGTGAAATAGCTTAAAACACATCAATAGGGGAAGATAAACCAGAATTACATAACACTCGTAACAGTCAAAACTGTATCCATTAAATATATTTTGTGCTACTTGCATAACTGTGAGAATGAAATATGTTGAAATACATTACTACAGGGAGTTTTACCTGAGTTACACAACAGACGTGACACACAAAACTGTATTAATTAAACATATCGTGAGTCGTATTTAACTCAGCCTGGAGTCCCTCCAGGGGCTACTGCCGGTCTCAGGTTAGGATAAACGAGGAGGGTTGGGCATGGGGTTAGCGACCTCATCACGTAGAAAAATAACGCGCTATTAAACGACAACCTGGAAAAAATATTCAAACCATTTCAACTCTGCCCTGGGAGTCACAAGGTCTTCATTTAGAAGAACAATGACGCCTCATGATGAAATCCGAGTTCCTTCGAAGGTCGCGAGGCCGATGCCCTTTCTGACAACAGGACCAACCAATTATTTAGGTACATGGAATACTCGTACAATGTTGGAGACCGAGAGAGTCTTTCAAATTGCTGCAGAAACGAGAAGATACAATCTAGAGGTGCTTGGGATCAGTGAAACACATTGGACGCAAGTTGGACGACAATGACTAGCTTCAGGGGAGCTTCTGTTATACTCCGGCCATGATGAAGAAAATACCCCACATACACAAGAAGTTGCACTGATGCTGTCCAAACAAGCATGAAGTGCACTAATGGAATCGAAATCTCATGAACTAAGGATCATCAAACCTCGTTCAAAACAAAGAAAAAGGTTTTTCAATGAACATCATCCAACTTTATGCGCCTACCAACGACTACAATGAAGACGCTAAAGATCAATTCTACAATAGGCTGCAGTCAATCGTCGAGAAGTGCCCAACAAAGGACCTGAACGTGCTGATGGGAGATTTCGATGCCAAGGTTGGAATGGACAACACCGGATATGAAGACATCATGGGACGACACGGAGTGGGAGAAATAAAGGACAATGCAAACCTATGTGCCTTCAATAAACTGTTCATAGGCGGCACGATATTCCCAGATAAGCGCATTCACAAAACCACATGGACTTCACCGGATCACACTACACAAAACCAAATCGACCATATGTGCATCAACAAAAAGTTTAGGAGGACGATGGAAGAGGTGAAAATCAAGAGAGGAGCTGATCTAGCATCAGATCATCACTTACTGGTCGCCAAGATGAAATTGAAACTCAAAAGCACTGGACAACGGGGCGGACAATATCACGGAAGTTTAATACGGCGTTTCTTCGGGATGCTGACAAACTCAACGAACTCAAGATAATCCTCAGCAATACGTTCCAGGCCTTTCATGATCTATTCAATGGAGAAGAAACCACTATGGAGAGCAACTGGAAGGGGATCAAAGAATCAATCACTTCAACATGCCATGAGGTTCCGGGCCACAAGAAGCACCGTAACAAGAAACGGACCACTGTTGATACACTGGATACGATTCAAGAAAGAGGGAACAAGAAGGCAGCAATCAATACCAGTCGAACAAGAGCAGAAAAAGCCAAGGCACAAGCTGAATACATAGAAGTGAACAAGCAAGTTAAGAGATGCATCAGAACTGATAAACATTAATATGTGGAAAATTTAGCAACGACGGCGGAAAAGGCTGTAAGAGAAGGAAAAAAAACAGAACTGTATGACATAACAAAGAAACTCTCTGGAAATCAACGTAAACCGGAGCAACCAGTGAAAAGCAAGGAAGGCGAGGTAATCACCAACATTGAAGAACAACGAAACAGGTGTATAGAACACTTTAAAGAACTCTTGAATCGACCAGCCCCACTAAACCCACCCAATATCGAAGCAGCACACACGGACCTCCCAATCGATGCTTGCCCACCAGCAATTGAAGAAATCAGCATCGCCATCAGACAAATCAATGAGTGACAAAGCAGCAGGACCAGACAACATTCCAGTAGATGCACTGAAAGCTGACGTAGCGGTAACTGCAAGGATACTCCACATTCTCTTCAGCAAGATTTGGGATGAGGAAGAAGTACCAACAGACTGGAAAGAAGGAATTCTGGTCAAGATTGGCGATCTCAGCAACTGTGATAACTACAGGGCATCACTCTTCTCTCAATACCGAGAAACGTCTTCAACAGCGTACTGTTAACCAGAAAGAAGGATTCAGTAGACGCCCAACTTCGAGACCAACAGGCAGGATTCCGTAAGGATAGATCGTGTACAGACCAAATTGCAACTCTACGATCATTGTGGAACAATCAATTAAATGAAATTCATCACCCTACATCAACTTCATTGACTATGAAAAAGCATTTGATAGCGTGGACAGGACATCACTATGGAAGCTTCTTCGATACTACGGCGTGCGTCAGGAGCTACTCAATATCATACAGAAATCCTATGATGAATTAAACTGCACAATTGTGCATGGAGGACAACTGACAGACTCGTTCGAGGTGAAGACAGGTGTCCGGCAAGGTTGCTTACTCTCACCGTTTCCCTTTCCCCTGTTGATCAACTTGATCATGGAGATGTCAACATCTGAAGAGAAACGCCGGATACAGTGGATAACTAGGACGCAGCTGGACGACCTAGACTTCGCAGATGATCTGGCCCTTCTATCGCAATCGCAACAACAAATGCAGGAGAAAACGACCAGTGTGGCAGCAGCCTCAGCAGCAGTAGGTCTCAACAAACACAAAGGGAAAAGCAAGACTCCTCGATACAACACAGCATGTACCAATCCAGTCACAATTGACGGAGATGATTCGGAAGATGTAAAAATCTTCACATATTTGGGCAGCATCATTGGTGAACAGAGTGGATCTGATGCAAATGTAAAGGCGCGGATCGGCAAAGCAAGAGCAGCATATTTACAAGTGAACAACGTCTGGAACTCAAAATAATTGTCAACCAACAGCAAGGTCAGGATTTTCAATACGAATGTCAAGACAGTTCTACTGTATAGGGCAGAAACCTGGAGAACTACGAAAGTCATCATCCAGAAGATACAGGTTTTTATTGACAGTTGTCCGCGCCATATAATTGGGATCAGTTGGCCGGACACTATTAGCAACAACCATCAGTGGGGAAGAAAAAACAAGACTTTAGTGAAGGGAGGAATCAGGAGGAGTGTTGGAATTGGAATACACCCAAATACGTCACAAAACAAGAACTAATGCGGAATAATCAAGGCCGACAGGAAAAGCGGAAGAAAAAGGACAACTCTACACAAGCACTACAAAGACCTACGTTTCAGCCCCACATTTCGGATGATGCACACTGCTAGGTTGTCCAATACGTGAACTAAACCGCACTCCAACGTACCCAGCTTTCCAATGGTGGTGCAGCTTATATTGATTCATGAATTCGGCCAGTAAAATATAACAACTAATCAAATATCACTATTATCAGTTGGATCGTCATCAGAAATCACTCAATTATGCGACAATGATGTCTAAATGTTTGAATGAAAATCGTAAAACATAACAAAGCCATTTCAATTGATTATGGACAACATAAACAAAAGAATTCCACAAATTCCACTAATAAATAATTACAGCTACACTTGTTGATAAGAATAATTGAAATTCACTTCATAAGATACACTAGCATTTTGACGAGGTATGTAGGTTTATGCCAGAATAAATTAACTCAGTGAATACTATCTTTCAGCTAAAATGATTGTCTACTCAGTTCAAGAATGTAGATCATCATCAATAATTGAAAATAAACGAAACAACGATTGAAACAATTCGTCTTGTCGTCTGTCACGTTTCTCCTAATCAACAAACTAACTGAGATATTATGAATCAACATGAACACAAGAACCAAGATCACTAACAGGAATACTGGAGAGACGAAATGAACCGTGATGAGATATTGTAAATATATTAGTTAGATAATTAGGATTACGTTGTTTCTGTGTGATGTATAACTAAAATTGATCAAGTTTGTGATAGAATGGAGCTACGAATCGATTGCTCATTGAGATATTTCAACAGAGATTGGTTGTCCATTTGTAGTGTCATCTAAGCGCGTATTTTTAGTTCTGATTGTCTGGATCAAATATCTCAGTAGTTTTCAGTTTTAGTGACGAAGAGATTTCAACTAAATCAGCTTAACGTGACATCGTTTATTCTCACTTTGAAGTTATCGTGATTTGTTAAACAATTAGTCTGGTTCGACTGTTATTCTTCACATATAAATATCTCAACAAGCGGTTGTGCAGTCAGACATTTATTTTTAATGTGGTATGCCGATAGATATCACAGAGATAATGAATGTTCTTATCTTTATTTTTTCTCTGATTATTCTCATTCTCCACTCTCGTGAATAAGCGTCAGTGTACGAACACTGTTCACTGTAAATTACACACTATACAGATTACCAGTTGCCCGTTGCAACGTAATTCTCAAGAGTTTTGTTATGTTTTTCGTAACATTCAATTAACATTGCGTCATCATTAAAATCAATATCTTCCTTCTGAAATGCTAGTTTCAATGAATCAGTAAGAAGTTTGTCAAATTCAACAGGGATTCCTGCACGTCTTTTCGCTTCATCCATGTGTATTTTACGTGGATCATCTGATTTAGGCATGACCACTTGTCGCAAACTCATCAACCAACCATTTTTATCGCGAACCAATAGTAAAACCTGTATAAAACGAGATTCATGTTATATTAAGGTATTATCAATATAGAAATAACACATTTCAAACGTCATTCAAAGTTATGTATCAAAACATTAATTTGGTTTATTTTAGGGATCAAGTTTGTTTAACCGTTCAATCGACCATTCGTGATAATGACGACTGACTAAGACTAGTCAGTTACACACAATGACCTGGCGTGTGCAGTAGTTCATCTGCCACTCAGTTCTTATATCTTTCCCCATAAAACGTTTACTTAGCCATAACGTCAACATAGATCAGGAATATTAATTATCCGCAATAGTTACAGATTGTGCTATTGTTGAATCTCAGTGATTATAATGGAAAGAGTCACGAAAATATTACTTTTCAATTCAGTAAGTTCTCACTATTAATTTTATTAACAAGTTACACTTTGGTTGAATTGGTGTACGAAGCATCGTTTGCGAATAACGAAGCAACTGAATTTACCAGTACTTGTCATTATAACACTAGGTAAACGAAGTACGTGGTAACGGTAACGATATATATCCATGTAAAAAATAAGAGTTTCAGAGATATCAATAATTTGAAATAATGAAATCCAGAGATTATAATCATCCACATAAAAAGAACTTTCAACCCACCTCTGCATCAGGGTATGAAGTCATCAATTACTCGTATAACCAACACACTTGGATATTACCCACATTATATAGATGAACGGTTATTATGGTTTAACGTATTTAACCATTTCATATTTGTGGAATACTCGTTCATTTACAAGGAAAGTTTGAAATAAGTTCCACTAATCGGCAAAACTAGAATGATGTAACTGAAATATACTATTGTGATACTCTGATCCCTGTTTATTTGTTTCATAATTCATATATCCTTTTACAGTTAAAATTATGTCGAAAACTCCATCATCATTGTCAGTTATGGTTACTGGACTACCCAGAACCGGAAGGACCAGTATGAAAAAGGCATTGAAAATAATTTACCAACCTTATGACGTTGGTACGTTATAAACGATGTCACGTTAAGCTGATTTAGTTGAAATCTCTTCGTCACTAAAACTGAAAACTACTGAGATATTTGATCCAGACAATCAGAACTAAAAATACGCGCTTAGATGACACTACAAATGGACAACCAATCTCTGTTGAAATATCTCAATGAGCAATCGATTCGTAGCTCCATTCTATCACAAACTTGATCAATTTTAGTTATACATCACACAGAAACAACGTAATCCTAATTATCTAACTAATATATTTACAATATCTCATCACGGTTCATTTCGTCTCTCCAGTATTCCTGTTAGTGATCTTGGTTCTTGTGTTCATGTTGATTCATAATATCTCAGTTAGTTTGTTGATTAGGAGAAACGTGACAGACGACAAGACGAATTGTTTCAATCGTTGTTTCGTTTATTTTCAATTATTGATGATGATCTACATTCTTGAACTGAGTAGACAATCATTTTAGCTGAAAGATAGTATTCACTGAGTTAATTTATTCTGGCATAAACCTACATACCTCGTCAAAATGCTAGTGTATCTTATGAAGTGAATTTCAATTATTCTTATCAACAAGTGTAGCTGTAATTATTTATTAGTGGAATTTGTGGAATTCTTTTGTTTATGTTGTCCATAATCAATTGAAATGGCTTTGTTATGTTTTACGATTTTCATTCAAACATTTAGACATCATTGTCGCATAATTGAGTGATTTCTGATGACGATCCAACTGATAATAGTGATATTTGATTAGTTGTTATATTTTACTGGCCGAATTCATGAATCAATATAAGCTGCACCACCATTGGAAAGCTGGGTACGTTGGAGTGCGGTTTAGTTCACGTATTGGACAACCTAGCAGTGTGCATCATCCGAAATGTGGGGCTGAAACGTAGGTCTTTGTAGTGCTTGTGTAGAGTTGTCCTTTTTCTTCCGCTTTTCCTGTCGGCCTTGATGATTCCGCATTAGTTCTTGTTTTGTGACGTATTTGGGTGTATTCCAATTCCAACACTCCTCCTGATTCCTCCCTTCACTAAAGTCTTGTTTTTTCTTCCACACTGATGGTTGTTGCTAATAGTGTCCGGCCAACTGATCCCAATTATATGGCGCGGACAACTGTCAATAAAAACCTGTATCTTCTGGATGATGACTTTTGTAGTTCTCCAGGTTTCTGCCCTATACAGTAGAACTGTCTTGACATTCGTATTGAAAATCCTGACCTTGCTGTTGGTTGACAATTATTTTGAGTTCCAGACGTTGTTCACTTGTAAATATGCTGCTCTTGCTTTGCCGATCCGCGTCTTTACATTTGCATCAGATCCACTCTGTTCACCAATGATGCTGCCCAAATATGTGAAGATTTTTACATCTTCCGAATCATCTCCGTCAATTGTGACTGGATTGGTACATGCTGTGTTGTATCGAGGAGTCTTGCTTTTCCCTTTGTGTTTGTTGAGACCTACTGCTGCTGAGGCTGCTGCCACACCGGTCGTTTTCTCCTGCATTTGTTGTTGCGATTGCGATAGAAGGGCCAGATCATCTGCGAAGTCTAGGTCGTCCAGCTGCGTCCTAGTTATCCACTATATCCGGCGTTTCTCTTCAGATGTTGACATCTCCATGATCAAGTTGATCTACAGGGGAAAGGGAAACGGTGAGAGTAAGCAACCTTGCCGGACACCTGTCTTCACCTCGAACGAGTCTGTCAGTTGTCCTCCATGCACAATTGTGCAGTTTAATCCGTCATAGGATTTCTGTATGATATTGAGTAGCTCCTGACGCACGCCGTAGTATCGAAGAAGCTTCCATTGTGATGTCCTGTCCGCGCTATCAAATGCTTTTTCATAGTCAATGAAGTTGATGTAGGGTGATGAATTTCATTTAATTGATTGTTCCACAATGATCGTAGAGTTGCAATTTGGTCTGTACACGATCTATCCTTACGGAATCCTGCCTGTTGGTCTCGAAGTTGGGCGTCTACTGAATCCTTCTTTCTGGTTAACAGTACGCTGTTGAAGACGTTTCTCGGTATTGAGAGAAGAGTGATGCCCCTGTAGTTATCACAGTTGCTGAGATCGCCAATCTTGACCAGAATTCCTTCTTTCCAGTCTGTTGGTACTTCTTCCTCATCCCAAATCTTGCTGAAGAGAATGTGGAGTATCCTTGCAGTTACCGCTACGTCAGCTTTCAGTGCATCTACTGGAATGTTGTCTGGTCCTGCTGCTTTGTCACTCATTGATTTGTCTGATGGCGATGCTGATTTCTTCAATTGCTGGTGGGCAAGCATCGATTGGGAGGTCCGTGTGTGCTGCTTCGATATTGGGTGGGTTTAGTGGGGCTGGTCGATTCAAGAGTTCTTTAAAGTGTTCTATACACCTGTTTCGTTGTTCTTCAATGTTGGTGATTACCTCGCCTTCCTTGCTTTTCACTGGTTGCTCCGGTTTACGTTGATTTCCAGAGAGTTTCTTTGTTATGTCATACAGTTCTGTTTTTTTTCCTTCTCTTACAGCCTTTTCCGCCGTCGTTGCTAAATTTTCCACATATTAATGTTTATCAGTTCTGATGCATCTCTTAACTTGCTTGTTCACTTCTATGTATTCAGCTTGTGCCTTGGCTTTTTCTGCTCTTGTTCGACTGGTATTGATTGCTGCCTTCTTGTTCCCTCTTTCTTGAATCGTATCCAGTGTATCAACAGTGGTCCGTTTCTTGTTACGGTGCTTCTTGTGGCCCGGAACCTCATGGCATGTTGAAGTGATTGATTCTTTGATCCCCTTCCAGTTGCTCTCCATAGTGGTTTCTTCTCCATTGAGTAGATCATGAAAGGCCTGGAACGTATTGCTGAGGATTATCTTGAGTTCGTTGAGTTTGTCAGCATCCCGAAGAAATGCCGTATTAAACTTCCGTGATATTGTCCGCCCCGTTGTCCAGTGCTTTTGAGTTTCAATTTCATCTTGGCGACCAGTAAGTGATGATCTGATGCTAGATCAGCTCCTCTCTTGATTTTCACCTCTTCCATCGTCCTCCTAAACTTTTTGTTGATGCACATATGGTCGATTTGGTTTTGTGTAGTGTGATCCGGTGAAGTCCATGTGGTTTTGTGAATGCGCTTATCTGGGAATATCGTGCCGCCTATGAACAGTTTATTGAAGGCACATAGGTTTGCATTGTCCTTTATTTCTCCCACTCCGTGTCGTCCCATGATGTCTTCATATCCGGTGTTGTCCATTCCAACCTTGGCATCGAAATCTCCCATCAGCACGTTCAGGTCCTTTGTTGGGCACTTCTCGACGATTGACTGCAGCCTATTGTAGAATTGATCTTTAGCGTCTTCATTGTAGTCGTTGGTAGGCGCATAAAGTTGGATGATGTTCATTGAAAAACCTTTTTCTTTGTTTTGAACGAGGTTTGATGATCCTTAGCTCATGAGATTTCGATTCCATTAGTGCACTTCATGCTTGTTTGGACAGCATCAGTGCAACTTCTTGTGTATGTGGGGTATTTTCTTCATCATGGCCGGAGTATAACAGAAGCTCCCCTGAAGCTAGTCATTGTCGTCCAACTTGCGTCCAATGTGTTTCACTGATCCCAAGCACCTCTAGATTGTATCTTCTCGTTTCTGCAGCAATTTGAAAGACTCTCTCGGTCTCCAACATTGTACGAGTATTCCATGTACCTAAATAATTGGTTGGTCCTGTTGTCAGAAAGGGCATCGGCATCGCGACCTTCGAAGGAACTCGGATTTCATCATGAGGCGTCATTGTTCTTCTAAATGAAGACCTTGTGACTCCCAGGGCAGAGTTGAAATGGTTTGAATATTTTTCCCAGGTTGTCGTTTAATAGCGCGTTATTTTTCTACGTGATGAGGTCGCTAACCCCATGCCCAACCCTCCTCGTTTATCCTAACCTGAGACCGGCAGTAGCCCCTGGAGGGACTCCAGGCTGAGTTAAAT